TGCCAGTCTGTAATCTGGTTTCTTCTGTGCCAGTCTGTAATCTGGTTTCTTCTGTACCAGTCTGTAATCTAGTTTCTTTTGTGCCAGTCTGTAATCTAGTTTCTTCTGTGCCAGTCTGTAATCTGTTTTTTTGTCTATTCCAGTCCAGACCTTCATACATGGAGAAATATTTCAGCCCTTCCATGCTCCAGGATCCCTGGAGAACTCTGAAGCCCATCTCTGCTGCCGAAGCCAACGCCAAGAGGGTCACCTGACCAGCTGACGGTGGTCACATGACCACGATAGACAGTTGGTTGTATTTTTGCTTCAAACTGCCGACTATAAACAAGTTTTATAATAAATCTAACAAAGTTAAATCAGGTCTTCTGGACGGGTTCAAAAATAAAATGCAAATTAAAAAATTGTTGAAACGTTTCTTCTTTTATTTCAGGGTACATTCACACCAGCCATGTTTAGTCCACTTTAATCAAACTCTAGTCTTTTGCCTAGAAAGTCTGGTTTGTTTGGGGTGTGAATGTGAAATCAAACTCTGATATGGACCAAAAAAGTGAACCCTGGTCCACCTAAAAAACTAGATCTTGGTTGGGTTGAAGTGAACTCTAGCGTGGTTCAATGCGTTGTGAATGCAAGCAGATCGGAGACCACGAGTAGGACCTCGCTGCAGCAAACAGAAGGGGGCATGGACAGACCAGGGTCAGTCCCATACCATATTTGGAAGTGGGACTCTGGAACTGAAGGGGGTGCTATTTTCATGATCACTTGTATAAATAAATTGTATTTAAAAGCCATTTTAAATCATTTTTTGTGAAATACATAGGCCTTTGAAATAGTGCATTCATATTTTTGTTTGTTTACAAAATGTATTCTTTAAATATTATGTACTTTTACAATTTTTTCTTTTGCTTTGGCTCAGTTGACCTCCTGCAGAACAGAGTTGAGTAAAACCAACAAACTACTAGAGTTGTAAATATATCGTTTTGTAACTGTGTTGTTTGACAATTGGATAATCTTGTTTTAAAAAATTAGGAATACAAGTAAAATAGCTTATGTGTAAATATATTTATTGTTTCATAGTTCTTTTTGAACAATGAACAGAATAAGTACAGATTTTCTTTAAACACTTGACATACTGCAGCTAAGTTTTGGGTATGTTTTTACATGTTTTTATAGTTTTGTTTAAGATTTCAAAAGAAAAACCAAGACTAACTTTTTTAATAAAGCAAGTACATACAGAAACATATTTTGTTTACAAACAAAAAGGCGTAACAACAAGACAACAAGGTTCAAGTGCAAAAATGCAAAGTAAGCAAAAAATATAGAGCAATACAAATAAGGCAAAAATAAAAATCTAGGCATGCATCAGGACATAAAAATCTAGGGTTTACATTTTATCATATAAATGATCATATACTTTATATTATTATATGTTATATTATAATATATATATTCTGTCTTATACTTTAGTTTAAGTTTGAGAGCATTTTAACCTCCTAGGGCCTGGCATCCACATATGCAAGAGTTCGGGTCTTAGGAGGTTATTAGGCATTATAAGAGCTTTAAGATATAACAAAGTCATGAAATGCCTCAACATCACTGAAAAAATACATGCTCAGTTATTTCAACAAGTTTTAAAAAACACTATTTCTTGTTTCTATACCAAATCCTTTTTGAATAAAGTCTGATAAATGAAGCCTAGGTGTAAATTCAGAGTGGAAGACTCTTCACCTCACCTGCTCAGCCAGTCACCTCATCAGGCATCGCTCCCTTCATAAGGTCTGTACACCCGCTCCTCAGCTGAGCTTCAACTCACCTCCACCCCTTCTCCACCTTCAGCTCCAGACTTCTTCAGTATCCCTTTAGTCCTTCGGCATCCTCTCCACCACCAGTGTCCACGCCCTGGGGGGAAGATGTCCTCATCCTCTCTGACAGCGGTTACAGCGTCTTCAGCCAGGGTCCGAGCGCCAAAGAACATTTCTTGTCAAACTTTCTAATTGCTACGGTTGAAATTACATTAGCAGCATGGTGGTGAAACTGGTAGAGCTGCTGCCTCTCAGGAGCAGGTCCCTGGTTCAAATCCTGGTCCGAGGGCCTTTCTGGATAGAGTTTGCATGTTTGCATTTTCTCTCCGTGCATGTGTGGGTTTCCTCCAAGAACTTCGGTTTCCTACCACAGACCAAAAACATGCATGTGTAGTGAATGTAGGGACAGCTTTGCTGTTGCTTCACTACTAATTAATTATTCTTAAAGCTAGTTCAAGCACAAAGAATATTAATTATTTAAATACAACGGATTCTTTCTTTTTCGAGTTAAATTAATGCCATGTGGCCAAGATAACTGTGAGGATTGTTTAATCAGTGACATGAGACGCCATTTTATCTTTGACCCATCAGTATAAATGTGGTCATTTATTTAACAGAATCAAAATTTAACATCAAAACATGTACACATTGATTTGCTGATCTGGTTTTGATTAATAAAAACGTGGCACGCTTTACTAACAAGACAACAGAACATTACTGAAGGCAGAGGCGGACTGGCCATCGGGAGCGCCGGGACAATTCCCGGTGGCCTGGTTGCCGAGGAACGGGACTAAAGGCTCGGTTCGGGTCGCACGGACTTTATTATTTTAAATAAACAATTCACTTTTGCCTGGGCTCAGGTCTCACGCTGCACTGCAGCGACGGAGAAAGCCTGGCACATCCCCCGGCCGGGCCGGCCCCCTCCCTTCCTTTTCTGTGTGTCACAGAGCAGAGACACACACACACATTGCGCCCGCCCCCCTCCCCGCCCTAGGACTCGCGCTCCCGACGGTGTTGGCGCGCGGTGCGTGCATCTCTGAGTTGTAGAATGGAGCAACAGAGACAGCCAAAGAAGAGGAAAGGTGGAGCAGAGAGAGAGAGGATAAAAAAGAGAAAAGCTCTGGCCGCGGATGCTGCTAAGTGCTATAAATTAATGTTTGTTCGTAATGGAGCAGGTAAGAGAAACACTTGTGTTGAAAAAATTGAACTCTGGCACAGTTTATCAGCACAGCTTAATATCCACATGCTAGCTTCACTTTGAGGGACCGAAGTGGGCCAAAACTGACTTAATATAACAAATGTTTTTAAGTTTTTACAAAGAATATTGCAAATTTTATAATATGGGTTAGGATCTGAAAAAAGTTTAATGTTGAAATGTCTAGGAATTCAGATTTTTTTGTATCTAAAAAAGTTAAGTCAGGTCCTCTGGACAAATAAAAAAAAAACTTGTTGAAACTTTTGTCTTTAATCCAAAAAACTAAGTTCAGTCTGAGGAGTTGCAACAAGCTCAGTTTCAAATAGCCTCTTCTCATAGTGGATCAACCAGTTTGTTGTTAACATCCAGAACTAGCTGTTAACATAAGGAAGACCTGCAGCCTAACAACCCCTAACAATGGTTTCTTTTCACAAAGATGGCTTCCTTTACTCCTCTCTCAAACCATAGTTCCTCTCTATCAAGGATGTGCACATCTTCATCCCTGAAAGTGACTGCTGGCCTGCAGATGAGTGTA